TCTTTTTCCATTGGTCCAGCCACCCCTACAGAGCATTTACTGCCATCCATGAGTCACTGTAGAAGTAGAGTGCTGGCCATCCCTCTTGTTCAGTGATACCTGAGCCTGCTGGATGTTTTCAGCTCTGCAATGTGAATCAATCCACCTTGTTCACGAAAAGCTTCTGCGACTCATCACGTAGGGCTCCAGACGGCAGCTGTCCTTTATCAGGGGATCCTTGTGAAACAGCAGGAACCATCGGTAAAGAGAGCGTGTCACTTTTCTCAGGTAGCTGATTATATGGTGGGGCCTCCTCAGCATTTGTTGCCTTTTTCTCCTTCTCTTCTGATGATAGTCAGAAATTTTAGTCTTCTGGTCAGTTTGTGATGATCTTGAAGATCCCTGAGACTGGGATTTCCTGTTCAAGCTCGCCGTGTTATCAGCCCAACCTGCTTACTTCATGTAGCATCAGTGGCGTGAGGTGTGGAAGGGGCTTTCCCTTTGCACATCCAGCCTGGTGCTGGCAATTACCAGGGGCTCACCCAAGTGGTGGCTGAAATCTTTTTGCATAGCTCACAGCTCACCTGGGGATAGGGATTGGGTGATTATTTCTGACTGTGCCTCTTCCTCCTGTTCGAGGGCCGTGCTTCCTCTTCATCCCTCATTAAGCAAACTGATTTGGTCCTGGATTCTTCTGTATAGGGGCAGTTGTTGCCAGCACAGGTTGTTTGTCATGTTCAGCTCCAGTTTGAGTGGCCACAGTGCTTGTTGGTCCACTTTCCTCTTCCCCCTGAGGTTGCTTTCTACTATGAAAATGTGTCCAGGAAAGAATAGCTGTGGCCCAACACACCGCAGCAAGGTGCAACTCTGGAGTTGGCACCGCATTCTCCTTTAATAGGGTCCTGTAGTTGTTCAGTGGTGAACTTTCAAACCATTGGAGCAGAGAATCTCCCCAAAAACTGGCCCATTTTCTCCCACCTTCCATGCCACTCTTGACTATCCACCCTCAGGGCAGATCTCTGAATGGCCTTCCTATAAATATCTCTCCTGACTCTAAACATGATGTAAACCATATTGACAAAACATAGCAGACATAGCACCAAGACTATGTGTTCCTTAACATTCAGAGGAAATTCCAGATTCTCAAAAGCTGTTGTAACAGGCCTGAAAGAGGAAAGGGGGTGAAAAGCTGTGGAAAATCATCCTCCCCTGTTCCCTGCACAGATGGGGTATGGTTATTAATGTGCTCACAAAGGTAGTGTCTGAGGTAAGGGCAAGAGAGTAGCACTCAATGCACATCCGATGTGACCCCCGTTGTCCTTGATTTTATCATGTCATAAACTGATAATCCACAGTACAGTAACAAAGCAATCCCGGTCCCTCTCCCTGCTCTGAAAAGGAGCGTTGTGATGGGCACACAGTGCCTATATGGGAATATATACACGGTTGGATACCTCAGCCACGTGAACAGGCCAAGCAACATTGTGCTCTGTACCTAATACAGCAAATGCTCAGATCAAATTTGTTTCCAACTGCTTTGGTATACCTGTTGTCTCAACCCTTCGTGCCCCATTTTGGGTACCACACAAGGCTGTTGTGGTTTGGGAGTGATGTTCCCCAGTTTAGTGTTCCCACTGCAACACTCCAAATCACAGTGCTGTTTGCTCTTGCTGCCCCCTCCTCCCCTGTGGCAGGCTGGGGAGGAGAATTGGAGGTACAAAAGGTAAAGATACAGGTCGAGATAAGAGCAACTTACTGGAAACAGCAATGAAATAAGAAACAGAAACAGCAATGATATTAATAAAAGGGTGTACAAGAGAGGTAAACGCTTCACACACAAAAAACCCTCACCACGTGGGAACCTGTAATACTCCAACCACTGCCACTGTGCCCTGACTGCAAAGGATCCCCTTTCCCAGGCAGTGGTGAGTTGATACAGGATAACTGCCCCTCTGACCACTACAGAAATTAACTCTGTCATGGCTGGAACCAGTACAGCTGCTTAATACAAAAAAGAAATATTTGTATTTCCACAAATACTTTTTACAGAGTTTTTTTGGCAGAAACAGGTTTATATCTCGTATTTTCACTACAGATAAGTTAAATTACTTAATTTGTGTAGTGTAGTGATTCTCTGGACAGTTATTGTACTCTGCATCCTCTGTGATATACATGTAGTCATGATCATAGAGATGTATTTTTTCATAACATTTAGGCTGTTGATTTTGTGTTGTAAAGCATCTCAAAAGATTGGAATGTTAGTGTTAGACACTGTTCTAGGTTTGCATCTTTAGATGTTTGATTTGGGTGATTGTATAAAAAATACCTTTCACAGATAGATTTTAACACATACTTAAAGTATCTGCAATAATACAGGTATGGAACAGTGTCTCCAAATTGTTTAAAAGAATTAACTGGACTGTGTTGAGTTGATGTAATTCATTGTGGATTTTTGTAGCATAGAAACTCACCCAAGCTAAAGTACTTCTACAGACCTCATGGAATTCAGTAATTTTGAGTGACATGTTTTGAGTTCTGTTATTCAAGGAATGAGTGAATACCCAGAACTGAGCTTAAGGTTTGTCTTCACTGCATTATTAGCTTGAGTTTGCTGTTGATTTATTGTATTTTCTGTTCAGAGCTGCAGCGTGGGTGAAAAACACTTCCAGCTGGTTGGCATTGGTGTGGTTTGAGGGTCAGGTATTGCTTATGAGAATTAATAACATGGTACTGAGTTGCTTCTTAAAATATCTCAATATTCAACTGTGAAGAGAAGCCTAACTACATTAAGTATCTTTTGAAATTAGTGCTGGCAGTTGCTCAGTATTTCTTTGTTTGTTTGTTTTGAAATGAGGGTGTTTTGTTGTTTGGGGGTTTTTTATTTGGATGCTTTTGTAAGGTTCTCAAAACTGCAGAGTAGGAGGCTTGTGTGTATATAGAAGTACTAACTGCCCTATTGTGCTTATTTCTCTTGCTTTTGTTTACCAGTGCATCCTGTCCTTATTTGGACTGTGGCAGATCCAAGTTCAATTTAAATTCCATGTGTTCTTGTTTAGTATAATAAGATTCACGTTTGTTAGATGTGTCTTGACCTGCATTTGTCTTAACATTTACTTTGAACACTAGAAGATTTTATATGCAATAGCTTTTAACAAAGACTTTTACTAATGACTTACTGGTTTAATGGGGGCTAATATCTAATCAGCTGTCCTAGTTCTTGTGTTACTGAAAACCATGCAGAAATTTTGTAACTGCTTGACCCCCATCCCCTCCATCTTCAGTCTTGGTAACCCCTTTTGTCCTATTGGAAGTTGTTCTTAGGAAAGCTCTTAGCCAAATGACCAGGTGCCCTCACAGATACTTGGCGACCAACCCCTTGCCCCGAGGAGCTTGTAATTAAATAAGGTCCCAGCTTTTTCAGAAGTTTACTGAAGCTTCAAAATGTATTTTTGTGCCCTGACTGTTGCATCCTTGTGAGCTCTCAAATTTGGATTCTTCAGTGGCTTTTTTCTGGTTCAGCTTTCCAGTTACTTGTCTGGAAGAAGTTTTTGGAGTATTTGTGAGCTTTGTAAACTATTTAGACTATAACTGCATGGAAACAAAAGTCCCCTTTCTTTTCACTGAGATTTCTAATCTCATTGGATTGCATATTGATACTCACTTCTGTAATATTTTATTTTTGGGTTTTTTTAGGGTTCTTCTCCAAATTAGCCTTAAAAACTGCAGTTAAGGTTATTGGGAAAACAAAAACTGTTAGAAATTCTGTAACACTTTATTCTTAGGTAGTAAAACAAAACAAGACTTTCTGTCTTCTGTATTAATTAAATCATCATCTTCTTACCTTGACCATCTCTCCGGAGGAAAAAAAACAAACAAGTATACATTTAAAGTAAAAGAATTTCCCAGCCAGTTATTTTAGTTTTCATTTGGATTTTTGCCTGAAATGGGGAATATCCAGGTTGACTTTCTCTGCCCATTTGAGATGGGTTCGAAATCCAGGTCTTCAGTATTACGGGAAAACGTCCTGGGTGTGATCTTAGATCCATCACTTTGCTGTCTGTATCCAACTTGTTTGGTGCTATAGAACCATTAGTATTGACTGAATTTGGGGGCTGATGGTACACCTATAGTAATTTGAAATACTTTAATTAAAGAAATTTCTCACAGTGCTGGAATGGAGGAGCAACTTCTCTGTTAACTGGACGTCAAATTTCAAATTAATTAAGTAACTCAATGAGAACAAATTGCCGTACAGTATAATTGAATTTAGGTACTACGTATTTCTATGCATAACAAGTGGTGATATTTGCTAAAATGATATTAAAATAAAGGATATCGGTCTTGATGCTTCAGGAGAAACCGACAAGTTAAAAATTAATTATGGGAAGATACATTTTTAGATATTTTTTCACTCTGCTGTAGGGGTGTTAACAGCACGTTTTTACATTTCCAGTACAGCTCATTTTCCTGTCTAAATCCCCAGCAGTGTAGCTGGATTTTGTATGAGACTTAGTCTTTATTTTGCAACTTCTTGTAGTCTGGTCTCTTAATAAGAGATGAAGCGTGACTTATATCCCCCCTCAAATTTGACATAGTAGTTTATATGTGAAGTCCATGGGCTATAAGGTTTTTGTTCATAGTATATTTTCCAAAGAAAGATTGATAAGTGAAAATGTAAAATATGAGTAAACGCACAGTAAAAGAAAAAGACTGCTAAGGAATTTTTGGCCTACATTTGTCTTAAAAGCAAGGGGGAAAAGGATCCTATTTTTAATCCTGGCAGCTTTCCATCCATTATCTTGGAGTGGAAAAGTTGCGTGTGTGCGTTCCTAATAAATATTAGGTTCAGTAGTGTAAATTGCACTAGATATAAAATATCTTCTTTTAATAATGAAGTGGGTGTTTTTCTTATAACAGTGGTTAGGCATTTAATCTTCTGTATTTATTATGAATGTTGTATTAGTGAGAAGGTGTCAGGTTATATTGGGGAAAATGAAAAATACTGTCTGTCTTCTGTCCAGAGTCTGCATCTGTGGACAAGTCTGTATCCCATTCTTGCACAACTCCTTCTACATCTTCTGCTTCTGGACTGAATCCAACTTCTGCGCCTGCTTCATCTGCTCCTACAGTTCCTGTTTCACCTGTCCCACAATCACCAATTCCTCCATTACTTCAGGACCCAAATCTCCTTCGACAGCTGCTGCCTGCTCTGCAAGCCACCTTGCAGCTTAATAATTCTAGCGTAGATATATCCAAAATCAATGAAGGTAAGGATTCTTTAAAGTTGATGTAATCTCTCACTTACAGGTGTTAGTATACTATTGGATGCCAAGCTGTAATAAACGAAACCTTATTTTAATTGAAAAGTGAATAAATTAATCCCTAGGTAAAGTGGGGATTTGTTTTGTTAGTTTTTTGTTTTTCTGTTAGACTCTTTTAACACTCAAGGTTTTCAGATTAATAAATGTTGATGTACATGAGCAGCCTAATTGAGATGGGTTACTTAATTGCTGTATCAGCATTCGTCTGCCGCACAAAAGTTCGTTAAAGCTCTTTGTTCTTTTGTTTCGCACGCTGTTCTTTGTTTTCTGTAGTTTGCACTGCTGTTCTATTAATGCGTGTTTGCAAATACTGAAACTTCTAGGGATTCTTAAATCTTGTTGCCTGACAACTTTTTTCTTTAGCATAACAAGTTATCCTCTGAATAAAGGTAGTGCATCAGCAACTGTGCTACCAAGTTAAATTTTGTGCGTGTAATCAGTGTATCTCTTAGATTTTTGTCAGATTGGCCTAGTTTATTAGAAGACAGTTTATCGCTTAGCTGTAATGCGTCTTGCTGCAAGAAGAGGAAGAGTTGATGCAATTAGAATGTAATTTTATCTGATGTGGTGTCTGCATGTGGCAGGTTACTGATGAAGAAAGTGGTGTGGGATTTTTTGTTTGCTTCTTTGAACTTCTTGTGCCTAGATCACTGTTTGTAATTGGAAGCAAAACATTTACATGTAGTGCCCAGAGTTAAGTAACTTTGTGAAAGTGCAAACCATGACAGTCAAAATATGTATAAAATATTCTGTACATTGCAGTTATTTATAAGAAAAAGCTGTCAGTTGCTTCCTTTTAATCAGCAAATATTCTGGCTTCATTCAGTACTAATGGGCGAGTAGGTTACTGTTTTGTTTTTTTTCCTGTGCAGAGAGAAACTTTTAAAATTGTAGTGCACTAAGTTGGTCAAAAAAAAAGTAGGAGTTAATTGTGGTTGAAAAATGAAAGGTTCAGTCAAGACTCCAAATGTATTTTATTAGAGACCTACCAAGTGAAATTCCTAGTCATTTTGTCTTACCCTGTCTCAGCAGCAGCTATGTCTGTCTTGGAACAAGAGTGTTTAGAATTGTTCAGGTGGGATGAGGACCTGGCTGGGTCCATGTGGGCAGAGTGACTTCACCTTGCACAGCAGGGCTGCCCTTACTGTGCACAATGATTCAGAGTTACTCTGGGCTTGTGCTGGTGAGTCAGTCTTTTCAGATTTGTGCATGGGTGGAATGTATGTTCAGGAAGTATCCCAGAGAGCCTGTAGATCTTTTTTGAAAAATTGGTTCAGAAGCTCGTAGTTAGTTCAGAGTCTCAGTGGCTCATCTTATAAGATCATCTTTCTGTGCAGTGCAGTTTTAAAATGGTTAAAAGTGATTGATGTTTTTACTGGGAGGAATGACATGGGACAGCTAAACCCAGAACAGATAAGGGTTTTTTTTTTGTTTTGCTTTTAAGAAGAAAGATTTTTAACTGGAAAGATATTTCTTTTCCCTTGAACAGGAAGTCTACCCCTATCTCTTTTACTGGGTTAAAGTGGTATGCTTTTGCTTTTTAAAAAATTACTGTAGTGTAAAAAAAATCCCCCCACACATTATGCTTACTACAATAGTAAATTGAACAAATGTTCTCTTGATGTTTACAAGAATTATTATTGATCCACAGGGTCAAGTTGAAGACTTGAAGTTATTTTTAAAAGAAATTAAGTGTATGTCTCAAAGATAAAACTACTAAATAAAGGATTTGCTTGACATTCCAAGTCATCTTGAGTTGAAGTAATTGAAAAATAGTTTGAGTGGATCTTTGGTTATTGTGGATATGGGAACAAAATCTGAAAAAAAATGTGGTTTAAATGTAATTAGCCAGTTTTGATAGTTTAAAGTGATGTTCTAGAATTGTCAGTAAAACAGAACGTTTGTTTTCAGTTCTAACAGCAGCTGTGACACAAGCCTCTCTGCAGTCTATACTCCATAAAATTCTTACTGCTGGACCATCTGCTTTCAATATCACCTCCCTAATTTCTCAAGCTGCACAACTGTCTACACAAGGTATTCAGAGTCTTCTTTTCACTTACATAAAATTATGTTGCATTTTAAAAAGGCTGATACAATTTAAATTTGTAGAAGCTCTGTGTTGTTGCACCTTTGGCCACCGGGTGTGGAGGATATTGAATGACTTCTTTTTCCAAATATGGGTTAAAAAATTATTACCTGGGGAGCAAGAGTCTGACACACAGCTGAGTAAATCTGCTCCCCTGTCTCGCCTTTTGGGATTTTCTTTGTATGTTAACTAACTCTATACGAGTAATGTGAAACCTGTGCAAGGCCCTCTTAATTTATTCTGGACCTTAATTGGGTGTTATTTGATGTTCAGTATAGAACACAACTCTTTGAACACCCTTCTTGTAGTACTGTGCAACTGTGACTCTTGGGGGAGGCCTTAAATTCTTAAAAGAAAGTTTGTTCAGTCTAGTGGGGAATTTTTTTCAGCTTCCAGGCAAGATATTCTTTCAGATATCTTCAGTAACTTAGTAAAACTAGAAGCTTAAACTAACAGTCATCTTATTGAGCAGGTAATCAGTATTATACTAATGCTAATTTTTGACCATGGGTGGGGAACTGTTGGTAGATGTCTAGAATGAGTAAATAGGTTTCTAGATAAACTGTTCGTGGATTCTTTCAGTTAAATCAAATTGACCTCTGAAACAGGAGTTGCAAGTGAAACTAATTTACTCTCTTCTTGTGTAAAAAGTGTTGCATAGTTTCTTCTCTTTCCCCCTTCCCTGAAGTTTTGGTAGTGGAGTTTGGGGAAAACAATTCTTTAGCTAGGATAGTTGTTGACCATTTATTTCATTTGTTCACCCTGCAACTGTGTCAAGGTGAACATGTTTTTATGTTATCTAATACAGCATACTCTGGAGTACCAAGAGAAAATCTAATTCACATTTAAGATAGGATATGGTTTTATTAAAAAGAATATTTTTCCTTTACAGCTCAGCCATCTAATCAGTCTCCAATGTCTTTAACATCTGATGCCTCATCACCAAGATCGTACGTCTCTCCCAGGATAAGCACGCCGCAGACTAACACTGTTCCGCTTAAACCTTTGATGACTACGCCACCAGTATCATCCCAGCAGAAGGTGAGGTCCTTTTCATTTATGCCATGTGGTAGTAAGAAATTATTGTACATCATATTAAGCATTGCTCCTACATATCCATGTGCTGTCAGTGTATATAGGATGATAAAATATGTATGTTGTCTTTCCCAAAAGAAACAGAAACAACTAGTAGCAACGACTTGCCTGTATTTTGGCAGTGCAACTCCAGCATGAGATTCTAGTACACTTTTCTTTTGTTGAAGAAATTTTTGTGCTCCCTTCAGGTGCTGTCTGGAGATACTATCAAGGCATCAGTATTTTAACAAAATACATACAACCCCCAAAAAACATAATTCAAACGCACCAGCTGATACAATTCTCTAGACATAGAACCAATAAAAGATTTTATAGAATGGGAGAGAAATCCTAGGAGAAGTTGATTTGATGTAGTCTCAAATTTGGTTTAGAAATGTTCTAGGTGTTTATGGGTCAATAGCATGATGTCCCTTTCTCTTCCTGCCCCCTCGTCCCCATTCATTCAGAATTCTTTAATTGGATCAGTGACTGCGAAACATTAATTGAAGCTAGCATAAAATAGCTCCTAAGGTTCTTCCTGAGAAACATGACTCTAGACTTTGGGGTGAGACACCCCTCCTCTCCCCTTTCTAAAATTCCTGTTCCCCACCACGACCTCTGCTTAGCTAATGTGTCTTTTTAATTTTCTGCTCACAAGAGAACCTCTTATGTCTCGAAGGCCTTTGAGGAATACTTTTATCTTCAGGAGAACAGATTGCATTCCTTGTTTTAGTAAAAATACCTAATTTTCTTATATTTGATTTTTTGTCACGGGTACAAAGAAAACCAGGTGATTCTCCCAGTTTCTTGCTTTTGGCAATGATACAAGGAATTGTTAAAGCTCTGTGTGTGTACTAATCCTGGTTGTTGTATTTGTTTCTCTCCTTGGGTTACATCCTGAGCCTATGTCTTCACATCCCATAGCTAGGTGATAAGTAATGAAATTATCAAATAACAGTCTTGAGATATTTGGCACTTTCAAATCCTGAGATAGGAAGAAGGATCTTCTTAAGTTATTTACTGTCAGTAACTGGAAATTGATCTGTTCTGGTCTCTACAACCCGGAGATCTGGATCTATGTATAAATAAAATTCTGAATATCAGCTACACTATAAACATAATAAAAGTATTATCCTTTCAGATCTTTATTTACAGTTCTGAAAGAAAACTCATAGGAAAGACAGCCCCTTCCACCCTCACCCCCTCAATTTATTCTTGTTTTATGAATTTAGTTTCTTTAGTATTTACCATCCTGCTGCAGGTGTTTTCCTAGAACTGTGCATGCAGTCGTGAACTTGCTGCCTTCTCCCCAGTGTAGAGGCCAGCATTGTACCTGTGAAGTAGGTGGAGTGGTAGGAAACTGTACTTTTAAGAGAAAGTGAAGGCAAGCCAAGTGTTCTAAGTAGGGCCAATCTGTCTTGGTAGACCAGCTGTATATTTGAATATGCTTTTGGACACACAAACCTTCCCTCAGGTTTTCAGTAGAAGCAGAAAATTTCGATGCTAAATGCAGGTTTGAGAAGAGCTGATACGAGTTGTAACTGCAGCAAGGCTACGAGTGCTCAAAACAACATAGTGTTGGTTATTTTACGTTTTGATACAGGAATCTCCACTTACATGCAAGACTCTGTGATTCCCTGTAGTTAGTGACTTGGCAGGCAGGGATTCACCTCTGGTATTTTCAAAATAAGGTATTCTGTATTTTATTGATACATATATAGAAGCTCTTCTGAAAGTGGTGGTGTCTCTGTTTTGGCATACAGAGGCACATTTTGAAGTTATTATATTGTAATCCAACTTTTCATTAAGATTGGACTTCAGTGAGGTGAGATTGCACGTCTGGTTTATTTTTGAAGCAGGTATAATGTGTTTGCAATCCAGCTGGTAAGTGTAGTAAATTTCCAAGTTACTCATTCTAAGCTGGAATGTTTTTGGTGCAGAGTGCTGTTAATCCTGAGGGACTGTTGTTCATTATTATAGACATTAGCAAATTTTTATTTTCCTCCTTCTGCAAAGAAGTTATAACTCTTACTATCCTGAGATATCATAACCATAAAAGCTTTCAGTTTTCGCATTACCTCAAGTAGCTTCACAGATAGCTAAACAGAATTAGTGGTAATGCTTGACAGTAGGATCTTTTCTTGGGTTTTATGTTCCTCAAATCTGATGCTAACAGAGCTGTTGAAGTATTAACGTGAATTGTTTGTGTGTTAGTCCCAGAAGTAACAAATTTTGGTTCAGCAGCAGATATGTTCCCAGCTTACTAGGGAAAGAATTGTGTTGATAGTTCTTCTGTTTGTGTAATTCAATTCCATGAGATGAGATTGAGATGAGAACTTCAGTGGTGATAGCTCCAGTGTGAGCATGTCTGTTTTAGCAGCCCTTCAGATGTGTCAGGCAGGCTAGCTTATCCAGTTCTAAGAGTTTGAATAAATTATGCCTAATTAAGATACGGTGCTGTGCCAGGACACAGTTGGTTTCAGAGCACAGGCCCATGGGCTTAGGGCAGACAAAGTTGGACTGGCGCTGTGCAAGCAGAACCCAGTGCCAGCTGCACAGGTACCTTGGACTAGCGTAGCACCATTTGCACAAGGGGCTCTGTTACTTAGGACTGCTTGAACACCTCAGTGCTGCTTTTAAGCTCCAGCTGGTGTGTCTGGGTGGAGGTGTGCTGTGTCCACACAGCAGCTTGGGTGTCACAGACTCAGGACCCTGGGTGTCACATTTTGATTTTTAACTGGCCCTGTATTGTGTGATTAGAAACTGTTTTGAATTTCTGCACAATAACTGTGTAAAGTACATTACACGGATCTGTCAAACTCAGAATATTGCTTGTGGTATTTTTTTAAATTTATTTAGCCCTTACTGTTTTTCTTTTTCTGTTATACATATTTATATTGTTTCAAACAGTGGAAAACATGGAATAGTTAAGAGCTTTTGTGGCTCATTATCTCATAAGTCCCAGTTTTTCTTTACAATCCATTTTCTTTATTTTTACCAGCTAAGGAGGTGGTTACTTTTCCAGTTTGGATCTGCAAGGTGATGCTATTATCTCTGATGGACTTTCCTTTTGAAATTATTCCTTCTGTTTGAACAACCTTGATAGTTAATGTTAAATTCAGGCATTGATAGCAAAGCTCTTCATGTCATACATGCCACAAAGGTACTTGGTAGTCTGTTTTCATAAATCAGTTTAGGAACTACTACTGTTTCACCCCCCTCAACTACATAGATCTGTTGTTTTCAACAACAGAGTAATCTTACACTAATCTTGCTTTATCTTTCTATAACCATGGCCTTTTCATGTACTATTCAGAATTTTTTTAATATATACCTATTAATCTAAAAGCCACAAAGAACACTCTTTCACTCTGATGATAACTTTAAAAGGTGACTTTTCCTCAGACGTATAAGTAGGTTTGAATTTACATTAAGATTCCCAATGTACCTAAATAAATCAAGTTAAGTCTTAAGTTTACTTCAGAAGATACTGTCTGGCTTGCCATGTTTCTGAAACAGAGAATTTCTAGAGGTTCAGGTGAGCACTAGTTGGTAATCTACACCAATGTGATGTCAGCAAATGCCAGACAGGCTTCATGATTTGTTTCTTGTCTTCATGGATCTCTGGAACCCATTTTATTCTTTGCTCCCTCCCTCTCAAAATTGTTAGCTTGGTTTTGCAGAGGGGGATACATTTTGAATCTGTTCCTCTCTTGTACATACGTCAAGTTGACTGAGGTATGCAAAGCGTTGGGCAAAAACAAGCATCTTGAACATCATTTAGTGTAACTTAGACATTAGTATGTCACCAAACTTTTCATCCTACTGTAGATCAGAAATTCACAGAAGAAAGTCTGTGTCTCACAGCTGGTGACTCAGTCTCTTGTATTGAATATGTTCTACAAAGGAAAAGCAGGAAGCTACTGGTGACTAAAATTAGTCATTCACGAGTTGAGAACTGACAGAACAGTTAACGGGGGAGTCGCAGACTGATAAATATGCTTTCAATTTTCTTCTCCATTTCTGGTAGAGATGTTATAATGTGGTTGTGATATAATTCTACTCTTGGCACTGTGTAATGTATTTTCAAGTAGGAAACTCTTTAATTTTTAAATGAAAATTTTTATTTGGATAATGGACAACTCTTCCAAGGTTGAAAATGAGCTTGGTGCTCGGTGGCAGATATGGTGAAAAGTGATACTGTGTTGAAGTATTTTACCTAATAAACTTGCAATATTTTGACAGGTCAGGTGATCTAAATTTGCTTCTGTTATGGCCATTAAGTACTCTTTCTGTTTTAGAAAATAAAGCTCTCTGTCACAGCTGTGGAACTAGAGATGATTTAAAAAAAGAAAACACCTGATGAAGAGAATAAAAATTCTGTCAACAAATGACCTTATATAATAAAAACCCCCACCAGTATTGTAATTTTTAATTTCCATGGTTTTCTGTGGTTCTTTCACTTGCTCTTTACTGTGGAGGAAATCTAATAAAGTTTTGAACTTTCCAGGTTGCTACTCCAGGTGTTAAACAAGGACCAGCTTCCCAGGCAGCACCTCAGCAGCCGGTAATAGCTGACAAGCAGGCAGGTCATGAACCTGCCTCTCCACGAAGTCTTCAGCGTTCAAGGTACATTGAAACACTTCTGTCCTCATTTTTTTCCTCTGGATCAATGTGTGTTGTATATGTTGCAGTCTGTGGACTCTTCTCTGGCCTGTTTATTGAACATACTATTTAACTTTGTTGCTACTGAGAAGATGCACCTAAATATCTTCGTTACAGATAATGTGGTAGGTTCTTCATTTTAGAATAATCACAAGAGTTCCATTCACAGAAGCAAAACAGAATTCATATTTGTGCTCTGTCACTCTGGAGTCAGAGAGGATTTGTTGAGTGATTCCTTGTATTGTGATTTCTGAGTTTGGAGGTTTTGCTTCTCTGTGCAACTATGGAATTAAATGCTGTATTCTGTGTGATTTTCTTAGCATTAGATGTTTGTGGTGTCTTACTGTAGTGTAATTTGATTTTTAAACTTACACGAATTTTTATCAGGTGATTTTACTGCTTTAGTGAAAAACATCAAAGATTAAGAAAGTTCCACAAATGCTTTTCCTTGACCAGAGTTTGTTGTCAACATTGCAGCCTATTCAGATGTTGCAGGATACGAATATTAAACCCAGATTCTTGTAAATCAGTGGTTAAGAATCTGTATCATTTGAAGTTTTTCTTTTGGGAAGATGGGCTCTTCCTAGTGTTGGATGCTGTGCATTTTGTGATATCAGTTCCAGGGACTTTAATCAAAGATCTGTCAGAAGATCCCTTTATGATGGAGTCGTGGTGTGGAAGTGTGGCACAAGGAAGTTGCAGGTTGACTTTTTTAGAAGTTCTGTAAATCTACAGTTTTAGAAGTTTTGTAAATCGCTTTTTGAAGTGTTGTACTTAAAAGCTGCATTTTAAGAGTGGTTGAATAAGGGGTGTGCTATGCTATTAAAAAAGCAAAGAAACAACACTCTTTCATTGTCAGCATACCTGAAGCTGCATAGTGGTGCTTTCCAGATCGTAAAATAGTGAGGTCCTTTTGTCTGCCTCCTGGAACTAATAACAAAGGGTACCTTTGTCTGTGTGTCATCAATGCACTAACTTATTGGATTTTCAAATCGTTGTTGGTTTTGCCTGTTTTGTGGGGAGAAGGGATCTGGTTTGTGGTTTGGGATTTTTGGGTGTTGGATTTTTGTTTGCTTGGCAACTCTGTCCAAGTAACTGACTGTACTGGAGACCCTGTGATATTGATCAGTTTGAAATGGAAGCAAGTCAGAATTTTTTGAGTTTTTAATGTTGGATATTTTACAGACACTTGATTCCAATCTTTGTCAGGTTACAAACCTACAACTCATTTCTCTCTTTGAGGAGAATAAAGACAAAGTGTATCAAATCCAGTCTCTAGTAATTAAAGATGGAATTATGGATGTTTAAACCTTTCTGAATTACAGTACCAGAAGTAAAATTATACTTTGCAGCATTCTAAACCTTTTTTGAGGAGTAGTGAGGTTTGGGGGCACAGCTCTCAGTCACAGACCCTTCTGTTCTTTGCTCGTCATCCTTTCCCCATAGGAAATTGCCCTAAGAAAGATAGTCTTATCCTTGGAAACATTCACCATGATCTGGAGTCTGTATAAGTTGATACTGGTGAGCTTTTGGCTTGCTAATCCATACCCCACCCTTCTGAGTATAGGACTTTCTGCTCTGACATAACCCTTACCCACACTGAGTTCCCTTTAGGGATCTGATGTCTCTTTCCAAACCATTGCTCCATTTGGCCACCAGCATTTTGGTGGAGAGAGCTGAGTTTGTCCCGGCAGCTGCACTGCTGCAGCAGGGGGGTTGTGCAGGTCCAACCATCCCCTAGTTGAGGGGGAGGCAGGGCAGGAGGGAGTGTGGGGACAGTACGAGAGATACTGTGACAATGTGAGTATTGTATCCTGTACCACATGAATACACCTTTTGACTGGTATGTCGTGCATCATGAGTTCATGTGTTTCAGTTTGCTTTGGAAGTGCCTCATTTGCAAAAAGTGGAAGATTAAGGAACCAGATGACTTGGAAAAACCTGTGCAACTGGTATTTTTTGCTGTTGAGTGCAGTGGAGTTGAATGAAAGTGGACTGGCTCAGGTGTAGATTTACTTTCTGTAAAAGCTTTCCTGTGTCCAGGCAGTATTTCTGAATTGATATAGGACAGATTATTCCTCAGGAGGTGAAAGCAGTCAGTTGGATTTGGGACTGCTCTTGGGGGCTAATGTCCTTTACTTGTATAAGAGTAAACAACAGCTTAGCAACCTGAACTGTGGACAGATGGTCCAAAATCTTTTCAGCTCTTTGTGAATTAAGGTTACATTTTTCTGCACATTAAATACAGGTTAATTGTGCAGACGTTAATAACAACTACATTCCCTTTGCACTTACTATTATTAAAATTCTGATGTGCATGGAGATTAAATTATTTTTAACTTGTTGGGGAGGAAACACTGTCTAAGAAATACCTGAGTAGCTATTGCTGACTTTAAAGTTGTGAACATATCAGCCGTGGAAGTTAGGAGGTTAACACAATGCAGGTATACAGCAAGTCTGTCAGAGATTATTCCAAAGACATGCCACGAATTATGACTGCTTTAAAAATGAAACTGTTTCTATAATTAATGGTTTCATCAGGTTGGTAGTTTCTTTTTGTTTCCAGAAAGGACTGGGAACCTTTTTCCTTTATCATGGAAAAGTGCTGGAGGGAGAAGATGTTTCATTCCGTCTTTCGTAGGTTGTAAGATACTGTAGTTTGTAGTAGTGTATTTCAGAACCATCCTGTCCTCGTACCCTTGTACAGATGTTTTTACCTCTCTGGAGGCATTCCATTATCTGTGGCATAGTCAGTCTTTAACTAAGCTAAGGCAGGTGTTTGCCTTTAGTTGAAGCATTCAAAAATACAGCGGTAAGTTTGGAACTACCATTGCTGCATTCATAGCTCCCCCTGCTGTTAACACAGCAGTGCTGGAATATCTTGTGACAGTATGTTCTAGTCATAATTAAAGTACAGCTTTATTTTTGAGAAACACACAGATTTTATTTATTTTTCTGAAGCATTTTTGATGTGTTAGGTTGATTCCTTCCCCCCCCCGCCCTGATGAAGTAGGAGAAAGAGAAACCAGGTTGATAAACGGAGAGAAGACAAATCATAGAGGGAACTATAATACTGTTAGAACTAAGGAGTAAGTAAGCACTGAGGGTTATTCCTGAATTCTACTTAGTTAATAAAGGTAGCCTTTCTCTGCACCATCACTATGCTGATGCTATAAGAATACATAGAAACCCAGAATAATTTAAGTTGGATGGCACTTCTAGTTACCATCTACTTAGGTCCCAACTTAGAATAAGACTAGCAAGTTTGAATTACTAAGGGTGTTATTTAGGTGATTTTTTTTTTAAGTCTCTGAGCATCTTCTAATGTTTGACTACCCTTATGGTGATTTTTCTTTTATTTTTCCCCCATTCCTAATTAGAATTTCCCTTGCTGCAACTTGTGTCTCTGCCTCTTGTCCTATCACTGTGCATCTCTGAAAAGAGCCTGACTGACTCTGTCCCCATAAGTAGTAAAAATCTGTAAGAAGATCCTTCAGCCCCCTTTCTCTCAGCCTTCTCTTTTCCAGACTGAATAAACTTACAGCTTCTCCTGGTATGGCATGTGCTTCAGCCCTTAGTCACCTGTGTGGTCCTCTGCCAGATTCCTTTGGTGTAGCAGTTCAATTCTTGTCTGGTTTTGGGCTCCCTGCTATGCAGTGCTCCAGATAGTGTGAATCTCCGAAGCTCTGAAGAGAGGGGAGGAATAGTTTTCTTCAACCATACTCTTGCTAATACAGCCCAGCATGTGCTTGGCCTGACTCACCTTTAATTTGTCATCCAGGATCCCCAGGTCCTTTTCTGCCCACTCAGCCTGTGCTGTTCCATGGGTTGTTCCAGTATTGTTGCTCAGGTTTATTCCACCTCACATGCAGGACTCTGCATTTGCATTTTTTGAACTTGGTTCCTATTCAGGTACTTCTGAATAACAACCTCCCCTCCAGCAGATTGACTACTCCCCCCAAGCAGGTGTCATCTGCAGTCTCACTGAAAGTGCACTGTGTCCCACTGTGTGGGGTTTTAATAAAATGTTAAAGACTCTTGGCTCCAGTGTTGATCAGTCACTCTTTTGATTGGTCTTCATACTGCTGACTGCACCTTTGAGCCCAGCAGTTCATCTAGTTTTTTATCCACCATACACGTGAAATGTGGACTGGATAAGCGAACAGCTTGGCAGGTGGTGGCACAGGCCTTGCTGAAGTCAAGGAAACTGTCGCTGCTTTGCTCTTGTCCTCTGAGCCAGTCATCTCATCATAGAAGGCAGTGAGGTTGGTCAGGCATAATACCTCATTGGTAACTCTGTGGTGACTTTTTTAAATACCTTTTAGTCTTTTATGTAGCTGGAACCCCTTCCAGGAAGACTTGGTCCATAATTTTCCCAGAGACTAAGGTCAACTGGCCTGTAGTTCTCCAGGTTGTCATGCTTGTGCTTCTCAAAGATGGGTTTAACATTTGGAACTTTGCCTGCTCCCCATGCTTCTTCAAGGTGATGCTGCACCTGAGTTAGCTGGCCAGCTCCCTGACTGCTCTCGGGTGTCTGCTGCCTGGTTCAGATAGGTGTTCTCTTGGCTTAACTCCTGAACTTTGTCCTTTGCTGTAGGTAATACTTTGCATTCGCCAACTGCTGATGTGCTTGGGCTTGTGGGAGGTCTGAGCACAGACCATACCCATAAAAACCCAGCAAAAAAAACAGTTGCACTGTCCTAGCCTTTTTCATGTGTTTTTTTCTCTAGATCCCCTTGCCTTGTAGAGGGGAAAACCAGCTTGTTCCTTAACCTTTCATTTGCCCTTGATGTACAGCATTGTTGCAGTTGACCTTCTTGGCTACTTTCAACTGCACCTTAAAAATCTGAATACCTTTTTTCCTAATCAACTGAACATTTCTACAGTAAAGTGTTTGCAGGGTAAGTGCCATGGAAAGAAGTTAAACCAGTTACTGAAGAGAACACAGAACACTTTTTTCCCTTTTTTCCAAGGGGTGTAACTTTTGCAACTTCTGATGCCTAAAATCAAGGGAAATTTAATAAAGCACCTACCAAAATTTCTTTTTTTGTGCATGATATTTTTTTCATATTCTAAGGTTTTAAACAAGTTTGGGGATGCTGAAATGAATGAGGTTAAAGTCTTTGATGCTGCAGACCAGTGTGCTGTACCTAATTCCATAGAATCATAGAATGGTTTGGGTTGTAAAGGACCTTAAAGATCATCTAGTTCTACTGACCCTGCCATAGGCAGGGACACTTTTACTAGACCAGTTTATGAAGAACGCCATCCAACCTGGCCTTCAACACTTCCAGGGATGGAGATCCACAACTTCTCTGGGCAGCCTGTTCCAGTGCCTCACCACCCTTCCAGTGGAAAATTTCTTCCTAAAATCTACCTTTCTTAAGCTTAAGGCCATTCCCCCGTGTCTAATCACTACATGCCCTTGTGAAAAGTCCCTCTCCAGCTTTCTTGCAGGCCCCCTTTAGGTATAGGAAGGTGCTGTAATGTCTCCTTGGAACCTTCTCTTCTCCAGGCTGACCAGCCCTAACTGTCTCAGCCTGCCTTCATAGGAGAAGTGCTCCAGCCCTCTGATCAGCTTGGTGGCTTCTCCTCTGGCCTTGTTCCAACAGGGCCGTGTCAGACAGCCAGTTTGTTGGCTGTTTGTAATTCTTACTGCTGTAGTTCTTCAGAAGTATGAGTTGATTAGGATAAATGTCTGGGCATTGGACTACAAAGTTGCATTTTGTTAGGATGTTTTCAGTCCTCAAGGGAGTAGGTTAGGTGATGAATCAGGAGGCCCTTAAAATTTGATTTTCCTTCATAATACTTTCTTGTTACCTGCAAGTGATAGAAAGTTTTAAGAAACAGACTGTAATTATGGCCTGTGTTGAAAAGCTACTGCCAGTGGGAAAGTTGTTAGGAGTAATGTCTAAGTACTTCCACAGTTAGTACTACTATTTCTCAGTATATGTAGGGCCAAAAAACATCGTAACTGTGAGGTACCACCTCTGTTATGGTGAGTATGTTCCAGTAAAGCAGTCAAGTTGATGGTTACAAACATGCTGCTCCTGTGATGCTTCTGTTCTCCTGTGTGCCTTGAGTGAGGATGTACAGTGTCACAAAACCATCTAGGTGTTTGTATTTTGGCATTAGTAGTAAATGATTTTGCTCCTCATGTCTCAGATGGCTGTATTTTTAGATCAGGACATCAGACTTTGTTCTTAATGATTATTGCAACACTTGCCAATACTCTATTGAATATTTGACTCCCATCTGATACATCATTACTGAAAATCCTAGATTTGCAAGCTGTCTGAAGGAATAACATACATTTATGTATTCTCTATCCAACACTGAAATGTAGGCACAGCTTACATCTCTTGAACAGCTATCAGAGTTAAAAAACAGACCAAAAACACTAATCAAACAACAAAAAACCCCTACCAGTGCTATTAAATTGTAGCACTTAAACTGTTCCTACAAATGTAGGAGGTTTGTAGAAGAGTGGCACAGGTTTGGTCTACCAGAAGGATTTATTTGTGGTTTGAATGCTTTATGTATTTTTGTGCCTGGAAACAATGAATTTTCACTGGTTATTTCTCTGTAGGTTCACAGATGTTTTTAAATGCTCACTTTTTTTTTTTTTTTTATTTTTTCTTGTAGTAGTCAAAGAAGTCCATCACCAGGTCCAAATCATACCTCTAGCAGTAGTGCATCAAACTCAACACCTGCCCCGCAGAATCCATCTGTACGCCCCACCTGTTCATTGACACCTACGCTAGCAGCACACTTCAACGAAAACCTTATAAAGCATGTTCAAGGCTGGCCTGCAGACCACGCAGAAAAGCAGGTGAGTTTGCCTGTGCTTTGTTCCCTGTGAGAGTGCGTAACATGTAGCTTAAAAATTGCTTTTCTTACTCAGGTTGCTTGTTCTAGGAATTAAAAGTATTTAAAAAACCAAAACCCTGGTGCTTGTCCATAGCCAGGAAAGAGGAGAGGGAGGAGAGATTAGGCCAGACCTGCAGGTTTTACATGTGATTGCCTTTCAGCAGTTGAGTATTTTCAGTCTTGCTTAAAATTCCAGTGCTTTTGAATTTCAACAGATTTTTTTTAAAGTGATATTTTCATTATGTGGAAAATGTTATGAATTAGGTGACAGAGTTAAACTGTTTGAGGCTACTCCACAGTTTGAGTTACTGAGTTGTTAGCTGTACCCAGTGAAAAAGGTACTCTGCCTTGCTTGGTGTACCCAATTTTTAAGATAATGTGGAGGACTCAAACTGAATTTGGACTATTTTTACTTAATGGGAACCCAGTAGAATTGCCAACCATGTTTTGTAACTAACTGCATGAAACCTGTCCTGTTGTTGTAATATAAGGAACTGGATGAATGTCAGCTGCTTGGAATGTATTACTCCAAGGAGCTGTATTGGTTGTTGAATCTAGTTCAAGTCCTTTCACAGGCTGCCCTGTCTGCTGCAATTGGTTTGGGATGTCAATCTTACCTAGCCCAGTTTACTTTGGTCTTTTGAAGAGTGGTTGCATGCTGACACAAGCCTACACTGGAGATTTTGGGTGGTAACTTGTAAGATGACTGTTAAAAGCACAGTCTAGACTGATGCCCTCTTAGGGATTCTTGTTTCTTGTCATTGATTTTTTTAAAAATTTTAAGATGTTACCAACCTGTATTGAGTCAGACCACTGAGCCATTGCTGTGGAGTGTCTTTAAGGAAATGGTGCAGCACAGGCACTGCTCTCTATGGCCTTGGCCCGTAGTTTTAAAACTACTATTTTCACTATCTACTGAATTCACATATATCTTAAAACAGAAAATAGATTTATATAGTGCATAGGTTTTGAGAGTTTTTTTCCCTTGCTGGTAATAAAGAGATCAAAAAACTCAGCTAATGGTAGGCAGTCATGTACTCAGTTGGATACTTTTACCTTTGTGCAAATGTTACATGCTGTATTGTCCTGTCTGCTCTTTCAGATTATTTCACATGACAGTGTTGTTTATAGACTAGTTTTGAATAGTAACACTTGAGGCAGTAATGGAGATATTTGATACAAAAGAAAAAGTGAATTAAAAAGTATAGGTGCAGTATGTAGTGAAGAAGGTGAGATAGATCAGAGTGGAGAGACTAAAATATGCAGTGCCTTGATTTCTTCAGGTAGGTGGCAAGTGCATAGTGTAATTTAAAATTAGGATATAAAAGCACATGCCAGAGTAAATAAAAAAATAAATAAGTAAATAAATTAGATGAGCCTGGACAGGTATGTGCTAAAGCAGCCAGACTTGAAGAAATGTGCTGTGCAGTAATTAGTAGCTAAAATTATTCTTGAACCACTAGCAGTTATATCACACAACTCATAAAAAAGGCAGTTAATATGGAAAACTGATAAACAATCCAGTAATTGAAGTTGTCCTGGGAAGATGTGAAATTATGTCCTACTGGAGGCCAGGGTAGTCCTGGATGTTAACACAGTCCAGAAAAGCAATCTTGTAAAGTAGGGATTTAGTATACCAAGCGCTACTTTGAACTGGAGAAATGCCAGAAGCTGATGAAGACCTGTGCTAAATAACACTGGTTTTGGGAAGGAAAAAACAAGTATACAAGTACTTAAACAGATGCTGTGGATGAATCCCAGTAGGCAGCTAAGCACCACACAGCCGCTTGCTCGCTCTCCCACAGTGGGATATGGGGGACGATTGGAAAGGCCAAAGTGTGTAAACTCATGAGTTGAGGTAAAGGCGGCTTGGTGAGTAAAAGAGGGTGGGGGAAAGTGATGCAAAAGTAGTTGCTTACCAGCAGCCAGCCCTCCAGTTTTACTGCTGAGCATGACATTGTATGGTATGGAGTATCCCTGTGGTCAGTTTGTGTCAGCTGTCCCAGTTTTGTTCCCTCCCTGCCTATTGTCTGCCCATAACCTGTTTGCTGGGTGGACAGGGGGTCAGAGAGAAAAGGAGTAAAACCCTTGATGCTGTGTAGGTTCTGCTCAGAAATAGTTAAAACATTGATGTGTTTGCACTGATTTGGTCACAAATCCAAAACATGGCACCACATGGACTGCTATGAAGAAAATTAACTCCATCCCAGCCAGACCCAGTACAGCAGAGAATAACATTCCTAAACAGTAATGCTGCTGGGAAGGCTGTATTTGAAATAATTTTTGCCATGTGCCACTTGCAAGAAGTTCCCTTATTGCATTGTAGTACCCAGGACCTCAGAGTAATTATGCTGGTCTCCTTGGTGCTGTTGAGGAGTTCTCTGGAGTCATATCTAGTTCAGTGACAGGACTGCACAAATTGGGAATTGATAATAGGCCATGCCCTCTAAATTTATACTTCTGCCAGTCTCCAGTTGACTAAGTGGGGATATTAGATTAATGGAGTTTGTCTGGAAGAAAAGCTTGAAGAAGGTTGCAAAGGGTTTTTTCATGTATGAGGTAGCTGGAAAGTAGATGGCATTCAGTTAGTTTTGTCACTGTGGGTTAATTTAGTTGGGAGATTTAAGTTTGCCATTGACTTAACAGATGGAGAGTTTGAACTGCTCGAACAAGTTGCTTTGGAAACTCGGAGTCCTGACACATACTGTCTTTCAAGATGGTCAGGTAAACATTTGGTAGGACTAAGAAAATCTGAACTCTCCCTGCCTTAGCATAGGCCTGGGTTAGACAGTTTCTGGGCATCTGGGGTTGTTAATTTCTGATTCTAAATGGGCTTTCATAGAGAATTTAATGTACTGATTCAGTACTCTCTTGAAGTTAGAGTGCTTTGCTGTTCCAAGACACACTCATCCAGCAATCCTCTGGGTACAGCCAGTTGTTTCCAATGCATGATTCAAAATCCTAACCTTTAATGTGTAACCATTGCAGGCATCAAGATTACGTGAGGAAGCCCATAACATGGGAAGTGTCCATATGTCAGAAATTTGTACTGAATTAAAGAATTTAAGGTCTTTAGTTCGAGTATGTGAAATTCAAGCAACTTTGCGTGAGCAAAGGTAAGTGTGTGCTCTGTGTTCATTTTCAGTTTTCAGGGTGGTATTAGAACTCTCATTCTGGCATTGTTTCTCGTGAGTTCTGTTTATTGGTGACTTTGTAAGTATGCTGGTACTTGCTGCATTTGCAGGCTGTCTACTGTCTACATTCTACCTGTTCTCCACACAGACACCTCTTAGCCTCTGGTGGATAGAACCAGATACGCAACTTCTGTGGCTGTTTCCACTTGCATAGAAAAGTATCTTTGCAGATACTGCAGTGCATTACAGAAAACTGGCTAACTCTGTTTCAGCATGCATCTAGAATATCTGCCCATACATGATGCATGGATCACATAGGTACACGTCTACACAGTTTATGCTGGTCTGAAACACTGAGGATTATGTGAGAGACATCTGTTAGGTCTAAAGCAGGAGCAAGTTCGAACAGGTGTAGTTTATATCACAAGCTGAGGAAAAGATAATGTTTTGCTTATAGCAAAGTAGACTTTGTTTGCTTCTTAAGTCAGTAATAGCAGGTGTCTCGTGCATCTTTGAAGCCATACACAACCACACTGTAAGGACTGAAAACTTTAGTATTACAATACATGCTCAAACTTTTCACCAGTAGTCATGATCCTGAATCTGCTGTCACACTCAGTTTCCCTTCTGAGAGATGTTATCCCACCTATTAAGTCACACTGCAGTTTGAACAGTGATTCTGATTTACTATTTGAAGCTGACTTAGTAGCATTGCATGATGTTTAAATAGCTACCTTTATCCTAGAAGCTCTTACATTTTGGCAGTTAGTAAAACAATGGTCTAGAAGCACGCTATCATATATTTGTAGATCTTTCCTGATAAAGAATTGAAAATATCCATTCTTTCTGAAGTTTTATTTCATGACTTCACTACATAAATCACAATTTTCATAGCGTATTTAATGAACTGCTTGGTTTCTTACAGGGTTCATTTCCTAAGGTGTCACTTCTGTTTCTGAGCGAGCATTTGATCTGAAATAACATGTCAAATGTCGTTGTTCAGCTCACTAAGTAGCATCTTGTTTCTTGTACACTGTGTATCCTTAAACTGTCAGTGAATAAGGATTATTATGACTTTGAATCTATGGTAACATGTATCTTTTATTTTTGCTGCAATCCCAAAGATGAGGAATACATGGCATAAGTAACAAGTTGATGGGGGGAGGCTTTTGCAAAGGATGGGATTATCAAAGGCAATACATTTGAATGATGTTATTATTTCTGTACTTCTGCACAGAAGAGAACTATTTAAATTTCTCCTGAGGAGGAACTTAATCTCTAGGCAAAGCAAATACGTCGTTTTAATCATAACTGAGAGCATGTGAAAAGGCACTTTTCATTGATTGCTATATTTTATATGCCCATACCTTTAAGTTAAATGGTTTTTTTCAGCGTGTCTATTTTAGTAATTTTTCACCTACTTTTCAGTAGAAAATTCATTTTTACTGAACTGGCCACATATTTGAAAAATGTTCTATAAAAGTCTCTGAACTGGATGCTTTTTCCTGATTGATTAAAGTTGCTTTGGACTTTATAGAATATTCACATGAAACTTAAAAGGCATAATGAAATAGAACAATTTTGGAACTCAGGTTTCAAATACACCAGGTCTCTGTGCATCTGCATACAATGTTTGGAAGTTATTGAACAGATTGGGAATTAACTTAATATCTGAATTTTGTTAGTGGAGCTAAAGAACTTGTTATCTTTCACTGAGATTGCTGAAGTACTTATGTAGATGTTCAATATATCTGTATAATGGAAATGTTTATACTAATTTATTTCTTTTCTCTTACAGGATACTATTTTTGAGGCAACAAATTAAAGAACTTGAAAAGCTAAAGAATCAGAATTCCTTCATGGTGTGAAAAGTTGTAAACAATTGCACATGGTTTTGAGTACAGGAACTATTAAACTGATGCCCAGTCTTAACACTTTTGAGCTGCATTTGAGTAGACTTTGGACCGTTGAGCTGGGCAGAAAAAAAAAGTTGACATGGGGAAGGGGACAGGAGGGAGTCAAATTCAGGGGAAAGATACAAGAATGATTTGTAAAACCCTTGAAATGTAGATTTCTTGTAGATGTATTCTTCACGTTGTAAATATATTTTGTAGAGTGAAGCCATGGGAAGCCATGTGTATCAGAGCTTAGACATCCAAAACTAATCAATGCTGAGGTGGCTAAATACCTAGCCTCTTACATGTAAACCTGTCTGCAAAATTAGCTTTCTTTTTCTTTTTTTTTTCTTTTTTTTTTTTTTAGTTAATTTATCGTTCAAAGATTTTTCATTTCCTAAAATTCAATGCAAGCGCCAGGCGATCTGTGTCTAAGGCTGCAACAGTTTGGGCAATGTACAAATTACCACGAAACAATTGTTTCCACACTTGCACCGAGTCAAGAGCAGTGCTTCTCCATTTCTGTTTTACAGAGAAATGTTTTTCATCTTCTGTGTTCCATTTCCCCATGAAATCCTAAATCTGATTTTATCAGCTTTTTAATGCTTCTAATTTTCTCTTTTCTTAAGGCACTGTTGCTATGGCACTTTTTCTATAATCTTTTCATTCCTGTGTACAGTAGCTTAAAATTGCAGTGATTGAGCATAACCCACTTGTTTGTATAAATTATTGAAACGTATTTCCATTTGCACCCTGTAAGAATGGACTTATAGTACTGCTGGGCATGTGTGCTGAAAGTACATTACTTGCTCAAATATAAGGAAATAGCCCAATGAACATGTTAACATGGTTGTGGGAGGGGAAAGAGGAAAAAAAAAAAGCTAGTCAGATGTGAATTGTATCTGTTGTAATAAACATGTTAAAGCAAAGAAACACTGGTTTTCATTTCCTTTGGTCAACACATTAAAATTTGGTCTGTTTGGGGACTCTTTATTAGAACTGTTCTTGTTGAACATTTTTGTACTTAAATAATTCCTCAAGGGAGGTTTTGTTTAAAACTTGTAAACAGGAAAATGTGTATAAAATATTTAATGAAATATAAAATTCAACAAGAATGATTTAAGACACCTCCCCGAAAGTTGTCATATGTTAACTCCTGGTTTACCTGTCTTGATATTATGACATTTCATTTTGAAGGATGTTTGTGTTGTAGCTAACTGTTTAAGTCTGGTGCTGACTGCTGTTCTTAACCATCACAAAACGCTGAATTTGTGTAATTGGAGCAACCCACCGTTTGAAAATGGTGGCAAAGCTCAGCTTTGTATATTGTTTCCTAAAGTATATTAAAAATAAAAAAGAAACTATTGCTACTACAAAATAAACGTGACTTTTTCTTTGCTTAAAAACAACAGAAGGAGTGATGGCAGTACTAGTTTAATATTTGTGGAGGTGTATATGTCACAGCAGTCTGTTAAGTAGGAAAGATTGTAGGGGATGGATTTTAAAAAAGAATGCTAAAGGTGTTGGCATGTGATGCGGTGCGTTGTCTTTCTACAAATACTTCCAGCACCAGAAATGTCACTTGATTTTTGTGTTGAGTGAGCTTGGACTACTTTTAAAATGAGGTTTTCATCAGTGGAAGCAGAATGCTCTGACCTAACAAGACATTGCAGATGGAGCAAGTTGAAATACCGAACTAACAACAACAATGGAAAATCAGGATAGATGAACTTGTAATTCTTCACTTTTTAACCTAGTACATGCTGTTGTGTTTCATATCATGCAAATGTTTGATTTTTCTCAGAAAATGGGAGTAATCTTGAACATACGCTGTTTCTGCATCCCAAGGCTGAGTGACAGAAGGCTTCCTGAGACTCTTGTATTTGCCTTACATCCTCTGTCATGTGATGCTCATGTTGCCCACGTGTAGGGAAGTAGCATGTGAAATGCATGGATGTACAAGGGATCTCTCACCACTCGTTGTCCTTAGTTCAGGCATTTTGCTGCTTAGTTTCTTGCTGAGACAAAGATTGCTTCTGTCTTAATAGATACGTTGCATCTCTTTAATATATTTAAATATAATCTATGTGAGCTAGAAAGCTTATTTTATTTCCTTTTGACTCTACACCTGTAAGTCAAATCAAGTGAAATTCCCCTGGATCAAACCTTTTCCTAGGCAGGTGTTCAGAAGATGTTTATTGGAGCAGTGGGATGTGTTTTCTGTATCAACTACATAGTATAGGTGGTCAAGGAAAAGTGATCAGAAATCGATAAAAGAACTGTTCTTGCCTATGTTGCTTGTGGTTTTCCTGTGCTTTTGTTGTGTTGTGCATTTGCTAAACAGCTATTTACTGTAATAGAGAAATGGTCTTTAGAATTACTGAAGAGATTGTCTGAGCCTGTACAATCATACTGCAAGTAGTGCCAGTACTGGGGGCAGTATTTTATCACATGTGGTGGTATGTTCAAGGACTACAGCAGGAGAAGCTTAATACAATTATAAAACCATGACTGATTCAAGGGACTCCCCATTTTGCACTGTCCTTGATCCGAAGGTGCTGTGGTCAGCTGCTCAACGTGGGTCAACTGCAGCCTCCTTTTCAGACTTGTTATATTAATTACATCTCCTTTGATAGGAGCATCTTATCTTTTGGTAGACGCTGGTGCTGTCTGCACTGTTGCAATTAAAAACACATCCAGAAAAAGTATCCATTCCTTTTTGGAGCAGCCTGATTGCAGGAGTATCCCCGGAGATACATGTCACCTTGCCTGTGATGACAACTTGAGAACTTGCCAAGGCAGAGTCCTTTGTTTCTGTGAGTTTGGCTGCAGTGGCCAATACTGTGTTCTCTGCTGCAGGGAAGGAGTGTTTGTGCCCCGAGTGTCACTGTCACGGTGCCTCAGGGGACTCGGGAGTCTGCTGTGCGGAAGGGGCAGCCACTTCCTCTAAATTACCATGGACTACTGTGTATAGTTAAATATCAGGTCTATTCTTGGAATTTAGCTGGATGTTTTGGTGAATACGTCATCCTTCGTGCTGTTCCTGGAAAAATATTGTCCTCAGCAAAGCAATCTCATTTACAGATGTAAGATGATAGCGAGGCAATTCTGGATGTTTTAAAAATAATGCCTTGACTTTTGAAAGTTTCCTGCAGAGGAATGGTCTGAGCCGAAGTGCCATCTCACTGGTACTAGCCCACCTTCTGCCCATCCTTGCTCATTAATGACATGTAGAGGTTTTCTTTGTGTTTTGGTTTCCTTACTTGTTTTATATTATATCTTAAGAAGTAGAGCTTTTGATGTAGGAGGAATTTGTTTCTTTGCCTAGCCTAACTTTTTCCTTGGCAGTTGTTTTCCTGCAGTCAGTCAAGCAAAAGCTTTCATTTGCAATTGAGATCCATATATATGTTGACTTCTTCTGCAAAAAAAATTGTTTTCAGCTATGATGAAGTTCTGGATTCCAGTTACACATTGCTCTTTTTAGGTATGTTAAGTTCCTCTATCTCCTACTAGAACAGATGATTGAAAAGATTCAGTCATTTGTAGCCATCAGCTTTATTCTTCTAACCTTCCTGGATGCCTTTGTTGCTCCTGCTGTAGTAATTTGTCTGGAATTGTTCCTAGATGTTCTTCAATGCAGATTCCTGTATTTCCCAACTATGGCTTTTTGTTTGGAGAGCCTGACTGGGGGAAAGGGCTGATGTAGACTCTACCACTTAGGGCTCCAGGTAGCTGAGAATCTGGAAGTCCCGAAGCACTTTTCCCTAATAAAGACACTAACCCACGTGGTCCAGGACTTTCTAGAGAATGAATTGTCTCCCACGGCAGGAACTAGGAACATTCTGGCAAGTCTTGTTGCATCCCAGACAGGTCCTTCCTGGAGCTGCTGGGTTGTGTGCAGCTGTACTAGATGAATGCATATACCAGACTGCACAGGTTTGCAAACACGGCTTGAACAGCTTTATCATTCCAGTGGTTACTCAGTATTTAGGACAGTATGTAGTCATCACCTGTTAGTCACATGTGCCAGAGAGCATTTGCTAAGGGATGCCATCTACACCTGCATGCAGCACCATGACCAAAATCAGTCTCTTGTGCTCCAATTTAAAATCTCATAATTTGGGCTGATTAAATGTGTGTGTTAATATGGCAAAGCTCAGAATGATCTGTTAGGCTCATGTTCCTACAGTGCAAGACTGTATGTTACAAGAAAATTAGTCCTGGATAATACTGTCATAGTCATCTGCACCAACAACTAGAATGGTGCAAGTCACTTAAATTAATTCTCTCCCTCTCCTGAATTCCTGAAGTTGGCACATGGAGGTCAGTTAGCATGTTGGCTCAGAGTTCTGAACACCCTGGACAGCTTCCTTCTGCCTGGCCTGGCAGATTTACATACTTCTGCCTTACATACTTCTTACATACTTCTCTGGGCAAAAATCTGTGATTGGGTCTTTTTCCAATGTGATTGGGTCTTTTTCCAATGTGATTGGGTTCCTGTTTTGCGGGATGCATCCTTGTTAGCAGCAGAAAGCTTGTACTGGAAGAGTTATTTGGTAAAGGGACCAAAGCCTGTGGCAGATGGTACTACAGAAGGTGAATGTGTTGTCAGCAGGTCTGGACTATGTGATAGTGCCAAGGGGCTCTGATGTCCCTCAGTTCCATCCAGGTTCCTTTAGCTGCTGCTCTGCATCCTGGGAGTAAAGGCTTTTTCTTTCTTCAGCATTTTGAAAGGAATATTAAACTCCTTCTTGTTGGGGATTCAATTTCACAGTAAGTCTTCTATCTTTTTTTAAATGGGAAAGATATTAAACCACTGTCAGCACTTGCAAAATAAAAACTGCCTTTCTGCTTGCAATAACATAGATAACTGAACCTCTTGATACAGCTTTGTTTTCAGGATAAAAATTCTCAGTGTTCACTTTGACCTAAGGTGGTTTCTGAATTTCACTTAATTTAAAAAAGAGAATTTGCTGTGTATTTTATTTTCATGTTCCCTGATTCCTCTTCACGTGAACAGTAAGGACAGAGGTGTGGATGTGCACAGAGTGCGATAGGTGTAACACACAGTGATAGGATGAGATCTTCAAGGACTCTTGTTTGCTTTACAGGTGGTTTAATCAAAAGAATTATTCGGTGAGGCTGAGGGTGAGGCTTCACTCAGTGGGAGAGCTTGTCTGACACCCAGCTCCCTGCAAAAAGAACAGACCCTTCCTGACTGTGTCCCTGCTCCCAGTGAGGTGCTCCTGATGAGTCCTTTTTGCCAGCGCTGAGGCAGGGCAGGGAGCAAAGCCTCAGCAGGAACCTGCCTGGTAAATGTGTCACTGACTTCAGAGCTTGAAGGAGGTCAAACCAAAGGGCCAAGCAAGGGCAGGGCTGGCACGTTTTGGCGTTGAAGGGCAGGTCACTGTCACTCTTGGGTCAGCATTAAGCTCAAATGGTAAAGACTGCCTGCTCTTAAAACTCTCGATACACGTGCAGAGAGAATGGCTTGGTCAATGGAAACTGCTCCAAGTTAGGCATGTTTTTCTGAGGTTTGGATGCGTGTAGGCTTTCATCTGAAAATTTCATCTCTGAATTTGTACCAGCTGTGCATCTGAACAAAATCCTAACAACCAAACTACCCTATTAACTGCTGCATGAGTTTCACGTAACCTTTACTGTATAAGTAAAGGTCTAACTGTCAAGCATGTTCTTAAGATATGTTAAACAAAGCACCCCTCCCAAAGTAGACAGTGCATCTTTAATAGGTTTGGTATATGAAGAGAGAAGTGTCTCCAAGGAAATGCTTTTCCTCTTCAACAACTACTGTCTGCTAAACTAGCAGTGAGCTGCTATTCTTGCTCTGGATGGTTTCTTCAGATATAAAACCTCTCTCAAGAATTAGGGAAAATCAGCTTGGCTGTCCTTACCTGCCATCTGATGGGTTTGGAGCATTTCCTGAGCTCCCTGGTTGTTCCGTGAGGATTTTGCAGGCTCCCCTGCAGGAGCCTTGTGAGCAAGCACGTGCCCTTGCCGCGGGTGCTGAGCAGCCTGCCAGGCTGGGGAGCTCCCAGGGCTCAGGGGCCAGCTCGGGTGCTTGGCAGACCTCTGCCCTTGAGCCAGTACACGGAGATACACGGGCTCTTTCTCTGCATGTGTTTTCTCTCACGCTCCAGACAATCTGCCTCACTTCTGTGGCAGCTGAAAGTGTTTGATGTCTGCTATGATGGGGGGAACATGGTATCTGAGCTGGTCTAGTGCTGCCCTTGGCTCAGCAGAGACAGACTAGTGCATGGCCTCTGCTTCAGCTGGCACTTTACCCAGCTGGAGATTTTAGTGCTATAGGAGCTGAGGAAACTCCATGGTGCAGGAATCTCTCTGGCACACACAAAGGATCCAG